TTTTTGTCATGTCACTTTATTCAATTATTTGTGATGATCTGCAGGTGTCCCTATACTTTTGTCCAGGTAGTGTACATCTTTGATTTACTTAAATCATTTAAGTTGTTAGTTGATCATGCATTAATATAGATATTTTTGTTGTATCTTTTTCATTTTTTTGAATGTCTTCCATATGCATTCTTTTTTGGTGTTCAACTATAATAATTTCAGTATCCTTCTTTTTACAGATAACTTTTATATCAGGTATCAATTAAGGTTTCTGGCTGAAATTGCCCAAATACTTTGGGCAAAAATTATTTTTTCATAAGCCCAAACTACTTTTTGTTATTAGCCAAAATTGGGTGAAATTATTTTATAAAAAATGTTGAGAAGCCCAAATTGCCCAACTAGTTTGGGCTTTAAGAAAACAGTTTAGACCAGAAACCTTAGTATCAATGCATGTCTTATACCATCTTTTGGATTGTTGAAATTTCTACATTCTTTTTGGCGATATGTGATCTATTAACAAAGAGTTTTTATAAATTAATAAATAAATAAATAATAACAAAATTTAGAAATCGAATCTATGGTCAATTTTAATATATTTTTGATTTGATCTAGCATTGCATTTACTTTATTATTTTTGATTGGAACATCAAAAAATTGATTAATTTGTTTTTTGTAAAGTGCCGAAATTGTTTTATATGTTTATGTATTTTTTTTATTTTTGTCTTCCAAGTTTACTATTCCCATCCTAATGACATCACTATAACGATTATTAATTAAAAATGCATCAATAGTTTTGTAAAATGAAAATCTTTTGTGACAATAATTTTTCATTCAAATTAATGTTAAAATAAATTTGTTACCACAATCACCAAATAAACTAGAGTGATGATGAGTGGCGATAAACACCACCATTCTTATGATAAACACTTGCTTGTTTTCATTTGCTAAATCTAATTCTTTCTCGTGTTTTCTTCTTAGATTCTTTGAAGAATGCATTTTTTTATTAAAGGAAAAAAAAATCTGAATTATCAGTCACACAAATCTTTTTTTTTATATTGTTAACTAAAAATTTTATTTGGTAATGATCGTCGCTTCCACAAAATAAATTAGCCAATCACAGGGAAAGCCCGCTATTTTCACTTTGTCATCATCTGTCAAAAAATAATAAATAAATAATTAGACACATTTGTTGATCAATCAAATAAAAAATCCTTTCTTTTTTTTATTTAAAAAAAAAAAATTAATCCAACAAAAACAACGAAATCAACAAGAGGATATTAAAAGTTCATTCGGGCAAGTGTTGTTTATTGTAAGAATGGTGGTGGTGAGTATTGCTGCTTGTTGTCACTCTAGTTATTTAAAAAGAATGGTGGTGGTTGTGGTGCACTGCAACTTGTGACTTATTAATAACTTATTTTTTTTTTATTTTCAGCTGTGATGCCCAATATTATGCATTGGAGGTGATTCAGTCAAAGCCTTAGCCTTGGCAGGTTTTGATGTCATTGGCCACAATGAATGGGTGCATACCCTCCTAAAGGTAATCTTTTAAATGTCAGAGGCTTGTCCAACAAAAAAATTATGTAAAGATAAAGAAATACAAGCCATAAAACAGATCTTGGTTTGGAAGACAAAAAATATAACTCAATAAAAGAAGCCTGATGATCATGACCGATCAGGTAATTAATGCATTTTGTATATGGGTTCAACTTTGTTACACATGATT